CTGTTTGTGGAGAAAGAGGAAATTAAATTACTCTTCAGGAAAGGGTATATGGGGTTATAGTTTCTCTGCTCTGGGTTCTTTTGATTCAGGTGAGTAAATATCTCCTTGAAAGTCTGGGCCAGAATTACTGAAGAATGAATTCTGTAGCCCCCACTGCTGATTTTCTTCAGAGGCAAGAGCCTCCATGAACAGCGCATTTTAATGACTGTCCTCAGATCTGATTCCAGAAGGCTTGTTTCAGTGAGAAGACCAACATGAAGCAACAACCTTGTCTTATATTGTAATCTCTTTGTTAGTCAGGGAGACTGCAAGTTAACAAATTATAGGACTGACCTGAATCCTTGTCTGCTTTGCATTTATGCTAATATCTCACACCCTGAATGCAAATGGTGACAGGGATGCTTAATAAGAGTAGTTATAGCAGTCTGCAGGGTCTCATCTTTGTGTTTTGTACAGCTGTCACTTGAGAAGGTAGCTTAAGCTTCTTCAGTTCAACCTCCCCTCACTTTTGAGCGCACTCTATGTTTTACCTGGATCACAATATCCATTTGGTAGGTGAATGTATTGAAATCCCTAGAGTCCTTTAGGTGCATGCAAAACATACTCATTTATATTTTGGATAAGGATACTAAGTAAGCCTCAGAAAGTGTGATGACTACAATGGTGTTGGCAGACAAAAAAGAACCCCCTCCCCCAAGTTTCAGTTCCACTATTGCAAGATGTGGAATAGGTAATATCTTATATGGCTTTAAAGGGACATTTGACCAATTTAAACTGCTATTTAAGTCCACAGATATCCAAGGCCACTGCTGAGGTGGTGCAAAGTTTGCCAGCTGTTTGGTGCCAGTTGGTTGCTCTTTGGGAGCAAAAGGGTCATTTCGCTCTGATTAACTGATCAAGCAAGGATGACCTTGCTTATTTGCCCTAAAGCCTCGCTTGACTTTCACATAGGATCTTGGAGGCAACATTACAAATGCCAGTTAAAGTCAAGTTGGAAACCAATGTTTGAATTAAAAAGAACTCATGTGGTTGCTTCCCACATATTTAAAAAGTTATTTTCATATGAATGCTTATAATATCAGGAATTTGACCCCTCTCCTTTACAGAAAAAGAATATGTTGCCTCCCATCTTTTGATAGAGTTCTCCTTCCAGATATTAGAATAAAATAATAGAATTATTTATTGGCCAAGTGTGATTGGATATCCAAGGAATTTGTCCCTGGTGCATAATTTTTTATAGTTAATTTATTACAGTTGAAAACAAAGATTTCACATTATTTCCATGTTATGGGAATATCAGTTTAAAAATTATAATGCCCATTGTGGGAATTAATAACTACCTAATGACAAATACATGGAGACAAGTAGCTATGATAAGATGTGTATGAACCTAGAAATATCAAAACATTTCTTTTGGAAATTTTAAGGAAACAGGTGTTGTTGAAAATGTATTCATAATTAATAAAGTCCTACAGAAAACCCCTGGAAGTCCTGTTCCTTGAATTTCTATGTCCCTCTTCTAGCTGTGCTCCACTGTTGATTCAGAGTGTTAACTTACATTAACTAGTAATTATTCATCATATTTACATCAAAAAATAAAGGCTTGATGTTGGTTAATAAGTCAGAATCCTGCCTTATGAATTTGTCTTGTCAACCAGGAATAAGACAATATTGTCCCATTCTGTTATAGTAGGAAATACTAGGTTATGGCAAGCAGAATTTCCTTGTGGGTTTGGGAAGTAGTAAGGGAGCACCGCATGACTATAATTTCTTTAATCAGTGTGCAAATAATTGATTACTAGGATTTGTGTATAACAGGATTTTGTTTGTTTGATAGAAAGAATTCTAACACAGGAGCCCGGCCTTTGTGGGGAAACAGCTTATGCAACAAGCTTTTTATGTACAGAAGGAAGACATTCCAAAGCTGCTGTTGCATAAAAATTGTAAAAGCTTTGCGTCTTTCTTGACACAGCTGCCTTAATACTCTTGTTAGTATATGCACTTTCGAGGCCCACTTCTCATGTTACAGATTAAATATGTTCCACTTTATAAGTGCTTGAAAAGGTAATGGAAAGTATGATAAGAAAGGACAGTTCAGAATTAAAACACAGCTGTCCTCTAGCGCAGTACAAATGCAGCATCTGGCTGAGGGAAAGTTCTTCACAAATCTCTCAAAGAATGCAGGAATGGCAGCTATTTTTCCTGGTGCCGGTCCAAAGGGACAACCTTATTTTTATGACAGAGTAGATCACTTATTTCATGTACAGTAAAGAATACGGTGGACCTTTCAACTTTTGCCTTGGCATGGAAGTCACAGGGAACCAGCAAGTACTATTAATGTTGCCTTTCTTCCTCTTCATTCTTCTGCTGACTCTTGTTCTTCTACTCTTAAACCATACTGCATTTCAGGTCATTGAATTTGCTGATTCCAAACCCAGCCAGCTGGTCCTCCACGTTGCTGCCATTCACAATCCATGGCCTGGGTGGCAACCTCTTCTTTCCTTTTCATCCAAAGCACAGTCATAACAAAGCTCGAAACCCTCATTGTCAGAATTTGCTAATCAACTTGATGTTTTCCTTCTTCCAGCACATCAGTGGCAAATTGCTGATGGTGGTAGTATGAGATCATTGGAAATGCTCCAAGGACAAAAACAGGGTTTCTCCCACTTGTGGCAACTTTGCGTATGAAATTGTCTCAAGTAATTCTTCTGACTTGAAGAGACGGTATGGGACTTGAGATGCTCCGCTTAACATATGTAGCTACGCTTTTCTCAACTAGTTTTCAGGGTATGGAAAGGGAGGGGAGAACAATTTATTTATGTATTTACTTCTCTTAAATGACTTATATAGCTACTCATATTGTAAGAACAAGCATGGGTGGTACTCAGAACAATTATCAACTGCCTCTGAATAGCTTGAGTCATTTTGCTTGTTTTCTGCCTAAGCCCAGAGATGAGACAGCCCAATCCTTTATTTGCTTACACCTGACAGAATCTTGCCAAACTAAAGCTATAAGATACTAGATATATCCAGAGAAATACTAGAGAGTGGTTACCTTGAACCTCTTCCCTCCTTCCTCATCCAGCTCTGGACTCTGCAGTCTGGGTCTTTTTCTGGGAAAGCTCTGATTTGGCCAAATCCCCCCACCCCACCCCAGCCTCTGCTGCTGCAAGCATAACTTCCATCACACAAACTGAGCCTTAAGAGGGATGTCCAACAAAGCTACAAGGAGGGCTGGCTAACCTAAGTGCATGGAGAGTAGGAAGCTTTGGCCTTGTACACCTGTATTTTCTAGCTATTGTGGCAGAAAGAAACTTTTGCTTTTGTTTTAATTTAGCTAGGCTTCCTCCAAAGTGATCGTTCTGGTTAGTTTAAATAGCAGTTTACTAATAAGCCAAGTCATAAATCACTGCCAGATCCTAATCTCCTTGTAGCAATCATAATTTAAATGAAACATACCGGTAGCGTCCCTGTAGACTAGTTTACAAGCAGAAGTAACTTTCTAATTGATTTCTAAGGAGATTCTTAGTCATGCGGGTCATGGTTGTCCCAAAGGTGCTTTTTCAAGAGGCAACTGGACTTCCTTTGTTTTTCCTTGAAGATGTTTCCCTTCTCATCCAAGAGGTTTCTTCAGTTCTGAACTGAAGAAGCTTCTTGGATGAGAAGGGAAACATCTTCAAAAACAAAACAGAAAAGTCCAGTTGTCTCTTGTAAAGCACCTTTGGGGCATTTCTAATTGATTCCTCAGGCCCACTCTAAAGGAGGGGAAATTAATACTTTAACACTGCATGTGAAACAATTTGTTGTGCCTTCCTGAAAATCACCCCCCCCCTCCAAAACACATGTAGTAAGGCATATGGTACTCCAGGAGTTGTTAAATTACCTCCTCCTTTATCCCTGGAATTGAGTATGCTGGCTAAGGCTGAAAGGAAGTGTAATCTGACAACCTCTGGGGAGTTGCATTTTTCTAACCCCTGCCTTAAGGATTCCTATGTGAGCCATCTAGGAATAGTAGCTGCTTTGAAGCTCTTCAGCTATTTGATGTAGTGGAACTAATGTCTAAAATGGTAAGCCAGCAGAAAACATGTTTTTTTTTTTGTTTTAGAACAATACTCTACTAATTAATTTATGTTTCGTGTCTTTTTAATTAAACAAGGAAAGCACACTGGAGGTTATGCTCTAATTCTTACTTGTCTATATTCTAACTGTATGTGTTGATCTGGTGTGAGGTCAGTTCTATATTCAGCCTAGCCCAGCATATCAGTTTATTTTCTCAAAGCATGACAACATCCGTCCATTATGACATTCCTGATTCATGTATTGTAACTATGGTATCATTTTACTGATGAACTATATTACAGGTACATAATGTACAATCCCGTTTGCTCTCTGGACACTGTTGGGTTTTATGGTATCTGATAAATGATTCTAATCTCAATAAATTCAATAAAAATAGGTTGATGTATACTTGGAAGAGCATAAAGGGCCCGACAATCTGATCCAACATTAATTGACCAATGACCACTCACTCAGATTGAGTTCCTTGGATAACTCCCAGTTACCAGTGAATGTATAAGCTTACAGGGTATAAGGTTAGAAACTTTACCAGTCTTAGTTAGCTTTAACATGTTTTCCCAATTATGTGTGTATACATTTCTATGTCAAAAGTCTCTCTGATATCTTAGGAAAATGGTTGGGGGTACACTTAGCTCTTCCCTTGAGATCAGCAAGATTCAAAGAGAGCTTAATTTTTTTATGAGGATATTCTTAAACTGAAGGAGTGTTGAAAATTGTCAAGAGATGTAAACATTTCACTGACTGAGTATAAAGTAAATGCTCATAAGGAGTAAATAACCATTCAGGAAAGATTAACCAAGATTCAATCTGTTAATATTGTTTTACTGTACATCAAAACATTCAGCATTCATTGGCTTGAGTATTTAATCAAAAGGAAATATGAATTTGGCTTTCAAAATAATCAGTACTTCCTCTTCTTGCAGAGGAAACAATGCCTGTGGAAAGAATGCGAATGCGGCCATGGCTAGAGGAACAAATAAATTCAAACAAAATCCCAGGGCTGAAATGGCTAAATGAGGTAAGGCAAGCCTGCATTTTTAAGCAGTGAGAAATAAACCAGACCGTTTTTTCTAAAGCAAGGCTGCAGAGCATTCAAAAGAATGTTTTGCATAGTATGCTACTACAAGCGAAATGAATGAGCCACATGCTTTGGACAGTTTGTTTTGTTGTTTGCTGCCTAGAAGGTTGCCTCTTTGTGTTTTGTGTGTGTGTGTCTGTCTGTCTGTCCATGCACACAGAGAATTTCTTCTGGGATTAAGTCCAGATATGCACAGACCTGAGTCTTCCAAAAGATGTGACGGCTTTAATTCTCCAGGAATTAAAGCTTCACTCATGGTAACACACTACAAAGTACTCGTTTCAAATGCTTTGCTTAGCCTTAATAACAAACACTATGCTCACTTTGGTCTAGCCATTGTCTATAATTCTGATTTATAAAGCAGAGATAAGCCAGTCACCTGATTCACTTGTAACTAGAATATTTACCTCCCCTTTTTTTTGTAACAACCAAGGAGGGTATACAGTTACATGATCTCTATAAAAAGGAGGAAGATTTTAATTTGGCTTTCTGAATGATACTTCCTATAGCATTTGTGTGTTTATATATGAATTCTGGGATAGATTAAACGGACCAGTGGGATTTGCTAAATCTTTTCCCTTAAGTAGAGGGAAGTAGAGAAAAGTCTTCCCTCAAGAAGCCTATAAAATCTAAAAATGTTGTTTTTGAAAATGTAATAACACACAGTACCTCAATCTTAATATTAATTGATTCCGGCATCATGCACTAATTGTTTATTATTTTGGGAGAATACCACAATTCGAAATGATAAAGAGCTGTCTCATCAGCATCTTCATCTTTAATAGGTGCTTTTCAAGCTTGGTAATTTAAGATGTGTGGACTTGAACTCCCAGAATCCCCCAACCAGTAGCAGAATTCTGAGAATTGAAGTCCACACATCTTAAAATTGCCAAGTTTGGAAAACACCTCTTTAAAAGTTCTATCACCTCTTGTTTGCCCTCCCAGAATACCCTTATCATCTCATCTTCTCTCTTATCTTTCTTCTTCTAAACCCAATATAAAAAAAAGTAGATTCCAACCATCACTGTGATCATTTTTTAAGAACGCTGATTGTGGTATGTGTACAGTGGTGGGCTGCTGCCGGTTGTAACAACTGGTTCGGCCAGCACCGAAAATGTGAGCGTGTGCACATACACGCTTCAAAAACATGGCAATATAGGACGGGATAGCGCCTGAGTGGGTGGGCAGACCCACCCATGAGTCACAACTACCGGTTCGCCTCAACCTGTCTGAACCGGCAGTAGCCCACCTCTGTATGAGAACCAAAAAAGCAACATTATAAATAAATGCTATAGGCAGAATGTCAAATTTACATTAAAAAAGTAAAATATTTAAAAATATATTCAGAGATCTAAAAGAGCCTGACAGCGATGGGTCCTTAAACATTCTGGTGATCCTGGGTGACTGATTGTCTAGCTTTGCTAGAGTATTTGTAAATATCTAAGATTTAAGTTTGTGAGCTAATTCTTTATGTATCCTACTTGATCCCCACCCCTCAGGAAAAGAAGATTTTTCAGATTCCTTGGATGCATGCCGCACGTCACGGGTGGGATGTCGAGAAAGATGCTCCTTTATTTCGGAATTGGGCCATTCACACTGGTATGGAAACTTATTTTTACCTGGACGATTTCTTATTGAATTTCTCTATTTTTCTCATTGATACTACTTTCTGTTTTGCTGTTCTGTTTGATCAAACTCATTAGTACCCTAAGCATGGTAAAGTAAGTTAAAGTGCCCTCTCTGTTTCAAATGGATAGGGCTGTATTTTTCAACCTTGGAAACTTGAAAATGTGTGGACTTTAGCTCTCCGAATTCTCCAGCTAGCATGGCTGCCTGGGGAAGTCTGAGAGTTGAAGTCCCTACATCTTCAAGTTGGCAAGGTTGAGAAACACTGGGAAAGAGAGTCCTTGAAATATAAGCAAAGTCACTTAAATATCAGATGTATCCGTGTGCTTTGCTCCTGAAAATTGATTTCTGGGACCACATGTGGGTAAATATGGACTATCAATGAGAAACTTGCTGATTTGATTGTCTAGAACAGTGGTTCTCAACCTTTTCTTCACCATGGACCACCTTTAAATACCTTTTGTGGCCATGAACCACTAAGACTTAACTCATTACATTTAAATCATAATATTTCTTCAAACCTTCACGGACCTCCTGTGATGACATTGTGGACCCCCAGGTTGAGAGCCGCTGATCTAGAACTCTGTGTAGCTGTAAAGTCTAAAAGGTCTTGGTTCTGATTCCTCTATCACAAATATGTGAGTTGTGAAACAAAATGAAACCAAATCCCCCCTATCCATATGCTGAAGGTGATTTGGCCCTCTGGCTCCACTTCTTAAGAACTACCACACTTGAATATGGGGATACGCTTGTGGCCTACAAAAAGCATTTTGTTATATTTGGCTTTTGGGCAGGTGCAGAAAACAGTCAACTTCTCCAGAAGTTGGATTCAGGCACATCTGTAAGGGTGGAGCTGGTTCAGTGGGCTCCAGGGAGTCTGCCTTGGGAATGGTTGTCAATTGATGCCACATCCACAGAGGTGATAGAACACCTTAGGTTCAAACCAGGACATCTTCCGCTAATGCTGAACCCTTCTTGGCAGTGTGCAGCCTGTTAATCCTTACATTTCTTCAATGTTTTTGATCAGTTAAAGTTTTATAGGAATAGTTTTTGGTAGATTAAACCAATGGTGTTATAGACTTATATCAGAAAATCTCCAAAGCACCTGAAAGTTTCCAAAGCACCTGAAGGCAGGATAAGAAGCAATGCATGGAAATTAATCAAGGAAAGAGCCAACCTAGAACTAAGGAGAAATTTTCTGACAGTTAGAACAATTAATCAATGGAACTGCTTGCCTCCTGAAGTTGTAGGTGCTCCAACACTGGAGGATTTTAAGAAGAGACTGGCAACTATTTGTTTGTCATGGTATAGGGTTTCCTGCTTGAGCAGAGGGTTGGACTAGAAAATCTCCAAGGTCCTTTCCAAGTTCCCTTCACCGTTTTATTGAAACTGCTACACAAATATTTTAAATTAAAGAAAAATCCGGTATCAGTTTTTCACAGTTCCTGTCTTTCTGTGGCCTTTGTTTGCACTGCATTTCCTTCCCCCCCTGTCAAATTAATCATTGATTTTTAAACCGGTGTTACAACAACAGTTTCTTCCACTTCAAGATAAAGTCCAGTTACCAAGATTTTTTTTCTTCCCTTTTTGCTTAGGAAAGTACCAGCCAGGAGTTGATAAAGCAGATCCAAAGACATGGAAGGCCAATTTTCGATGTGCGATGAACTCCTTGCCAGACATAGAAGAAGTTAAAGACAAAAGCATCAAGAAAGGGAACAATGCTTTTAGAGTGTATCGGATGCTGCCGTTATCTGAGAGGCCTTCTAAGAAAGGTAAATGAAAGGATTGTGAAAATTAGTAACTTGTTGGACAACAGCTAACTGCTTTTAAAGAGATTTCCCAATATATCAAGACTCCAGTTCACAGAATTCCCACTTGATCAAATCAAAAAAAGCTCACAGCCTCAATACACTTAGGAAACCAGAGGGAAAAGCTGGGAAAAGACAGATGAGATGCATGTGGATCAAGAGGCAGGCATTCTTTCTTGGTCACAGGCATATCTACTAAGTGAATGCAACTACCTAAGAAGAAGAAAAATAAAAATAAGTCTTTAAAGTCCTCATTTCCATACTGAAACATCCTTCCCTTCAGCTGTACAGATGAGAACAAATGGCCTTGGCTCCTTCAGCACTTCATATGACATCATCGAATTCCATGCGTTTTTTTTTTCCCGTTCTTAAAATTGATAACCAAAGAAGAAGAATTGCACATGGCCCAGCAGTCCTAAATTAATTCCTGGCACCTCAGTTTTTAAAAAATTGACCCTTTTCAGAAAATGGGGAAAGGTCTTTCATTGCTAGTCAGAATAGAAAATATTGTAAATGGTGATAAGGACCCCGGCATTCATCCCCTTCTGATGTATCAATAATATGAGTTTGTGTCAAAGAAAAATGGAAGGATCAAAACCAGGGGTGGGCTGCTATGGTTTGCTCGGGTTCGGAAGAACCCGTAGCTAATGTTATCGCCGGTTTGGAGAACCTCCAAATCCCATCCCTGGCTGGCCCCACCCACCCCTCCCCTCCCAGGATCTCCACGTGGCCTGTTTTGGATGCGAGGTAAGTGCAGGGCCCGCACAGAGGCTCAGGGAGAGGGGAAAACTGACTTCCCAGAAGTTCCGGGCCATTTCTGGCCTCTGGAGGGCCTCCAGAACCCGGGGGAGGCAGTTTTCACCCTCCCAGAGGCTCAAGGAAAGCCTCCGGAACCTGGGAAAGGTGAAAATGACCCCCACCCTGCCATGGTGCAGGAGGCCAACCATGGCCATGCCCACTCAGCAACCAGGCAGAGAACCCATTGCTGAAATTTTTGAAGCCCACCCCTGATCAAAACCATGATGGCCCCATTGTTACTTTACTGACCTCCCTGACATAAATAATTAAAAATGGAAATGAGAAAAAAAATCTCATAAGATTTTGCAGAAAATTTTAGCTTCTTTTTTTCCCTTGCTTTGGCAGGTGATGGTTAGAAAAGCATAGTATTTTATTATTTTGGAAGGCAACTCCAGAAACTAAAAGAAAAACAATAATAGTCCCTCGGGAATAGGGCAGTATATAATAAATAAATAAATAAATAAATAAATAAATAAATAAATAAATAAATAAATAAATAAATAAATAAATAAATAAAATCAGCTATTGTATTCCCAGTGTAGAGAGGGATTCCATTCCCCATTGACATGGGGAATCTTGGAGAATAATGTCAGTTCTGTTTGTGTGTCTTCACATATTTTCAGTAAGATTTAAACAAGTAGCAATTTTCAGGTATTAGTGACCTGATTATTCTATTAAATTCACGTGAAAATCTTTTATTTGCAAATAATGGTCTTAATTTTTGTCAGGAAATAACTGTAAATATCTTTTCTTACATTTCTACAGGAAAGAAACCAAAGTCTGACAAGGAAGATAAAATTAAACAAATTAAGGTATTTTTTTTTTTGTTATCATTTCAAGGCTAAAGAGATGTCATTTCTGGATTAAAACATTCTGAAAAATTATTTCAGTTTATTAACACTTTTTATCAAAAGGACTAAACAGACATTTTCTTCAGTAAAGTTCATTCAGATATAATACTTGACCCAGCTGGAAAATATGCTTAATATAATTTTTTTTTTTTTAAGTAATTGGAAGTGAAGATTGGTCCTTTTCAGGAGCATGCTCTATGGGAGAGAATGCTCACATTTTATCCTCCCCCACATGACCAGAAGAAATACAATCTACTTTTTCCAATACTGCATTTCTAATAAGGAATCTCCTTTTCTCACAACCATGATTACTGAAATGAAAACCAAAGTGTAGCAGAATTAGATATTGTTTGCTTCTAGTTTTTTTTTAAGGTTGTAATAATGGCTGATTTATTAGAATAGAACAGAACAGAATAGAACAGAACAGAACAGAATAACAGAGTTGGAAGGGACCTTGGAGGTCTTCTACCCCAACCCCCTGCTTAGGCAGGAAACCATATACCATTTCAGACAAATGGTTATCTAATCTCTTCTTAAAAACTTCCAGTATTGGAGCATTTACAACTTCTGGAGGAAGTTGTATTATAAGACACTCTATCAAAATACATTTCTAACCATTGGATTGAGACCATCCTGCTGGCTCATGAAAAATATTGACATTTTCTTGGTTATTCAGATTTCTAGTTACTGAACTCATGGCAAACAGCACCGTGATGGGTGGTGGTCTTTCGTTCACCCGTCCATCTGTTCTGTTATCCCAGGAGTTACTATGGCATCAAAAAAGTACGTGTAGCACTCAAATCTCTCTAGGAGGATACAAAGTGATAATTGCTAGCTGCTTCTGTATTACATAATTGGTTTTGTCTTTGAAAGGTTCATTCTCATAATATATTCTGCACAAGGAATTAAACGGGAGAGACCTTTCCCTTCCTCTTGTCAGCACATGTGACATTAGTAATAGCCTATGCAATTATCTGACTGCACTTTTCAATGTCGATAGGCATTATCTACACAGTTTCAATAGTACGTTTGCAGGCTTCAGGAACAGAAACAAAAATATAGAATTTTGCCTTATGAGGAGGCAAGAAGCTTCCTCTTCAGGCAGCAGATGTTTATTTTATTGGAAAAACCCCAAATTGGTTATGACTTCTGTTTTCCTGCTCCCGCTATCTCTTTTTTTATTATATTGTACTTTTGCTGTGGATGGACATTATGGTTGATAGTTGTATTGACTTGTTAAGATACTCTTGACTAAGGCACAAGTACTAGAAGGGCAAGTTATTCAATGTAATTATTATTTGTTATTAAAAATTATACTTTTAGTTAATAGAATAAGTATTTCCATTATAGGCATATTATTAAGAAGTCTAACTTGGGAACTGGGACATTTTCTTCCTTCTCATGGTGTCGTAGTTTATTATACATACAACCTTCTATATCAGCAGCTAGAAATTAGAGAAACTTCTTGATGATCAAAATGGAGGGTTTTATTTCTATTACTTTCTTTTTCCTTGGAAAGATATGGAACATCTAAACGAAAACTAAACCAAAGTGATGAAAACAAACACAAGAATTGTTTCTTGACCTGGATTACCCAATATATGATCAGAAATTGATTAAGAAAGGGGATTTCCTTCTCCATGTTGCATTTCTCACTTCCTGGGATTGGAAGAGTCTTGTGAACAAAGAACATATACTACTATCAAAGGACATTTTGTGGGTGCCAGACCCAGGTGTTTTTGCACTGAGGTTGATGCCCAAGAGTGCCTAATTTAAGTTTTATGGATTTGATTTTGCAGGAAGTAGAAATTTGCTAAGATCATGCATTTTAGTTAGAACCACTTGAGTTTATTTTGAAGAGTGTGATAAATATTTAATAAGAAGAGTTGTTGGAGATGGTGATACCTAGGTTAATTTCTTAATGTAAAGCATATTTCTTAGAAGGCCTCAGAATAAACTCTGTGCATTGCTGTTCTGAATGCAGACTATTTTTATGAATAAAATGGATGGTGTTTCAGTTCTGAGATTGGACAGCATGAGACACTAGTCTGCTTCAACTTGGCCCGCAGAATGCCAAAGAAATGGTATGGGATAGGTTTAGCGGATGATCAATCAGGAGATGACATATATTTTTGAGTGCCTACCAATGCATCATTTTTCCATTGCTTTCTTTCTAGCAAGAACCAGAGGAGTGCTCTTATCAGCTGAGTAATGGAACAAGTCCAGAATTTTCTAATTACTGCTTGTCTTCGACAATAAAAACTGAAGTCGACAGTACAATAAACATTGTAGGTAAGCAGCTCCAGTAGACCAGTACATTCTTTTCCTTGTGTGGCAAACTTCTAGAGCAAGAATTTTGGCTTTTCAGTTTTCATACTGAACAGTAATATATCAGATGTATCATAGCAACAGAATAATTAGGTCCTGGTTTAGTTAGGAATCTTGAACAAAACTCCTGGGAAATGGTAGAAGTGAAAGAAGAAATTTAACTCTTTATCTAGCAGTTATTTATCTACAGATTTAGTCCTATTTAGAGCAGGCCCATTAAAACCATCAGAGTTAGTTAGTTATGAGTGCCCCTAAGTTCCACTGTATCTTTCTGAGCACAAATAAGGCTGCAGATCAGCAGGCTCTGAATGGGCAACCCTGAACATAAGATTTTCAGAATTTTTTCGCCCAAGCTGAATAGAGAACTCTGACCTGAGTGGGAAAATTCTCACTTTGGAAATCTTTCTTCCTTCCCTTGGGGCTTCCAAAACCTTTTCTTTCTAATTTGATAATTTCCAAATGAGGTATTAGAAAAATGATCCAAGGAGTACTGTAAATATGACTAGATCCATAAAATCCAGTCTTCCTCGAACACATGCTGTACATCTACCTTGGAGCTGGCATAGAGAAAATGTAAACTAAATGTAAATGTAAACTAGATTCTCTGACGTTTCCTAATTTTATGGTATGAAAATATGATAAACCATAGTGCATTCAGAATCACTAAAAATATGCTATTTGTTCATATGACTGCATGTAATCACCATTATTATAATTTGCCATCATATCCAGTTGTAGGAGAATCACACTTTGAGGTTGATTCTGAGGATCACATGATAGTTCCCAATCCTCCAGACGTTTGCCAAGTAGTAGAGGTAACAACAGAATGTGATGACCAGCCCAGCTGCATGAGTCAACTATATCCACTACAAATTTCTCCTGTCTCTTCCTATGCAGGTCAGTAGCTTTGTAATACTAGAATTTTTTAACAGATATTTCCTTTTCTGCTTAGGTTAGTTGGAAGAGATTTTACTGATTCTCTGGGAAACTCATTGTAATCAATATAAACAATTTTCTTCTAAGAAAGAAAACTGTAGTGAAATCAAATATCGGCACTAAAATTGAATGTTCCTTAAAAGTACTTAAAATTAAATTGAATAAAACTCAAGCAATAAAATGTTGGTTTCTTAAAAGACAATAGCTAATTTGAAGAGCATTTAATCTTCTTTTCATTTTTATATATAATTTAATCTGTCTTTAAAAATGGAAATCATTGTCATTTATATGGACTCCAGGAATTCAGATCAGGGTCTTTTTTGTATTTTCCTATGTGAAATCTAAGATTCAGTCTGGGACCTACCGTATGTAATGCAGCTGGTTTACCAGTGATTTAACCTTGATCTGCTATTATGCATAAAATCTTGTCATGCATTTCATCTGTCAGTTATATCATAATACAACCAAAGACCAATAATGTTCTGGTAAAACACAGTTTACTAGGATATCTATGTATCTTTAGTTGAAAAAAGCAGCCTTAAATCTGGAAGTCTAGATAAACATTATCAAGCAAAATGAGTTTTATTGTTTCTTGGGCATGGAACTAAAACTTTACTTGTAGATGATGTAATGGGCAGAGTCTCTATGAACAATCATGGCTGCAAATGCAGGAATAGTTGAGAGTAACCTCTTGACCCTAAAGCAAGTTTACACATAGTAGTAGTGTTTGCCTTTGGCCCTCAGATACAAACAATTCTATATCTTTTTTTAAAAAAAGAAATTCATGGCTACTCATTTTAGATTACTTTTGCCCTCTGTTCCAGTGGCTAATATGAACTAACTGGTTTTACATAAATCTTACTAGACTGATATAGAATCATTTCTTGGATATGAGAAGATGTGGCTGATGAAGGTTAAAACAAAATAAGTATAATGAATTTCTGTTTATATTGGCTATTCATACTTCTGAAGAATTCCTATTTTTATCCCTGCTTTGTCCAGCAGAAAGTGAAACAACAAATAGCATCCCGAGTGACGAAGAAAATGCACAAGTAAGTAAAACATTTCCAGGTTTTCTTTTTAATATTACAAATAGGCTTTTCTTCATTGCTTTTAGGAGTTTTGTTTGGTTTATTGATGTTTAGAAGTCAATATCCTCTCTGTTCTTTATAAAGGTTTGCAAGATGTCTTATGTCTTATTGTACCATTAAGAAATGACAAATGCAAGTAGTCGCTGACTTACAACAGTTCATTTAGTAACCATTTGAAGTTATAACAACAGTGAAAAAAGTGACTTATGACCATTTTCACACGACTGTTGCAGCATCCTTGTGGGCACGTGATTAAAATTCAGATGCTTGACAACTGACTCATATTTAAGAGAGTTGCAGTGTCCTGAGGTCATGTGATCACCTTTTGTGACCTTCTGATAAGTAAAGTCAGTGGGGAAGCCAGATTCACTTAACAACCATATTATTAACAACTGTGGCAAGAAAAATTGTTAAATGGGGCAAAAATTCACTTAACAACTAACTTGCTTATCAACAGAAATTTTGGGCTCAATTGTCATAAGTCGAGGATTACCTGTAATAGAATAATCAAAACTCTTCATAAAAAATCTTCCCATTTTCCAAAAGGATGAAAACTAGGAACTACTTGGGCTTTCCAGAAGGAGGAGTTTTTCCTTTTTCCTCAGCAGTCACAATGGCGAAAGGGATCCTGAAGGCAGCCATTAAAGACGGTCTCCTTCAAACAGCTTGGCCCTGTTAAAGGAGAAGCCCAGAGTGTGATGGCTGACCCAATCAGCTGAAATCAATCCAGAAGTCATGACTGAACTTCTAAGATATTATTGTTTCTGATGAGATTACTATGTAAATATTACAGGAATAGGTTTAAGCATCTTAACAAGAGCAATTTGAAACTATCTATAATAAAATGGCCAGTATTTTCCCTTCCCCTCCTGCTGCGACCTGTGCACCAAAGAGCAAATATGGTCCCTATTAAGCCACAGTATTGACAAAATAATTTCCCCCTTCTTCCCACTGACCCATATATAAAGTATGATGGTTAGGAATTTTGTAGCCAGGTTTTCTTGTCCACAAAATATGAATAGCTTGTAAAATACAAAAAGTATATACAGGCATTAAACATATAAAACAAGCAAAAAATTAAAACTCAAATACTTGATATATAAGCAGCAGCCAAGGGAACAGAAGCAAAAAAGGAATATGACTTTTTTTCAGCCCGTTGTTCTTTAGATATATTAAAAGCAACTCTTCATCATTACAGCCAGTTTTTAGACACCAATGGACTGGACGTTGTATTCCAATAGATCTAGAAGGATCAGGTTGGAAATGATGTTTTAGCTTCTGGAATGCTATGACTACTGAAGGATCATGGCAGGTCCAGTAGAGATACAACAAGTATATTAAATAACAGCCTTGGCTGCTTTGGGCAGAGTTTTTTTAAAGCTTCTGCTGCTGAACTTTAAAATACCATTCATAGTTAAGTTTAATTTCCAGATCAGCAGGCAAAGTACAGGTTTACACATCAAGCTAAACCATAGTGTGATCTGCTTTGTTTTGGCTTTGTATGTTGGGAGGTCAGCCAATTTTGATTGACTCATCAAGTCTTGATTAAGCAACCTGGCTTAGCACAACATGTGAACCCAGCGAGAACATCCCTTGAACACTGTAGCTTTGGCTACAGTGACTTTTTTTTTTTAATTTGATTTATATGCCACCCTTCTCCGGAGATTCAGGGCGGCTTACAGTGCGTTAAGCAATAGCCTTCATACTTTTGTATATTTTATACAAAGTCAGTTTATTGCCCCCACAAACTGGGTCCTCAATTTACCTACCTTAGAAAGGATGGAAGGCTGAGTCAACCTTGAGCCTGGCAAGATTCGAACTTACTTTAATTGCAGACAGCTGGTGTTAAATTACAGTGCTTTAGTCTGCAGAGCTATCCAGATTTTTCTGAAAGGGATGTGAGATTTAGCAACTTGTAGGGGAATTACAGCATGACCCGGTTTGGTCATGTTCAGTACTATGCACGTCACAAAGAATTATTCCAAGCCCATCTGAATACTTACTTGCCCAGTTGTAGATTAGGCTGAAGTAGCTAAAGGAATCTAGCTCAGAACCAGGAAACCATTTTCCAGGCCAGATGGGTAGACCTGGGACTGATATTTCAGCATTAGTGGGCAGATGCTGCATGACTTTTCCCCCCCCATCATAGGACTTCTTGTACCAAATGCAACACACAAAAAGCTAGGCCAATTCTTTTTCTATTTTTTGCATTTTCATTTATAGTGCAGTTTTAGCCATTGAATATATCAGGCATTGAACCTGGTGAATGACTACAGAAGGAACAATTCTTATAGGGGCTAGCAGTGGTTTGCAAAGTGCAAAGGGGCAAATAAGTCATCTCCCAATAAAATGTAAAAATATAAAGTTTCCAGATGTTGCAGCTATTTTGACATTTCAAGGAGTGGTATTGTATGGATGGATGCATACACAATAGCTGCTGCCTTTCCCTGGTGATCCAGTTGTCTGTGGAAGGACAAACGTGAAATAGCTTTGGAAACAGCCCTGTGAGCCTTCCAAAGGATCCCGTCGTTTTCACAGTTGCAAAGCATGTCCTTTAAATACTTTAGGCAACCCTAATAATTAATGGTTTGAGTGATCTATTTTGATGTAATATATATTTTCCATTTCAATTTGCTTCTTCTCATTCTTTGCAGCCATGATTTTATTGCAATTGAAATCAACCCCCAGGATAAAGTTATGGCCTCCTACTCACTGAGCAACAAAATCTTAATGGAAAAGTTAAACATCTAGTTTGGGTTTCATTAAGTTTTAGTGCCTATTATCTTTTACATATACAAAGCTACAGTGGGAGGATACTTTAATATAAACTTTTTTGTTATATCTTAGTCAGAAGCTGTGTCTTTGGATTTCCTGAGTTCACATGTGCTTGAACACAATGGCAGGAAGTTCTCCTAACCATGCTGGAAAGCTTTTTACATTGTACCTGGGAGATGAATAATATTTCTATCCAGTCTTATTCACGAGTTGCATGAGAAACAATCAGGAAACAAATCATTCTTTTTTTTTTTCTTCATTGTAGTTTTTCCTCTTTATTTTTTATTTTTAAAAAATCTCTGTCTGCTTTTCGAATGATCATTTCTCTTTTCTGTAAAGCTGGGCCAAAGCTGAGCATTCTTGCTTTCTGCTGAACTTAATGAGAAAAGGGTAAACTAGGAGGTATGCGATAGAACTACATGGTAGGTTGAAATCTGCAACTTCTCCAAGATGTAGAGAAATAATTTCAGCTACAAATGGGGAAAGTTTCACTTTGCCCTTGGTGGGTGTTTTTTCCTGGCTGGTAACATTTGTTTTGCTATATTTGATATAAGATGGGAACAGACTTGAATTTGAAGAGACCTGACACTTAAATTTTCTATAGCAAGTCCTTGGCTTACAACCACTTGTTTAGCAAACGTTCAAAGTTACAGTGGTACTGAAAAAAGTGACTCACAACAGCATCCCAAGGGTCATGTGATCAAAATTTGAGCACTTGGCAACCGGCATGTAGTTACACCAGTTGCAGTATCCCAAGGTTATTTGATTGCCGTTTGTGACCTTCCCAGAAGGCTTCCAACCAGCAGAGTCAGTGGAGGAAAGCTGAATTCGTTTAACGACCGCATGATTCATTGAACAGTTATAGAGATTCGCTTAACATTCATGGCAAAAGAAAGATCATAAAATTGGGCACTTAACAACTGCATTACTTAACAATGGAAATTCAGGTTTCAATTGTGGTTGTTGAGAACTCCCTGCACATACTTCTTCATTAATCAGCTGTGATGCTGATTTGTATAAAAGCTTTATTCTGGTGTTTGATAGAAAGTCTGAACAGGGTACCTACTTAATTGGGCATCTTGAACGCTTGGAACTCTTGAGTGCCCCTGTACGCACATGCAGAGTTTTTCCTAAAGGCATGGAGATCAGATGTCAGCGTTGGGAGTAGGGTCAGTAAATATATCCAATTGGTCCTTCCATTAGCTTATGCATTGAGGAAAAATGCCTGTACAGCCCTTTTCTTTGCACACAAGCATACAAAATCTGTATGGCACAAACTGAACTTGTTGCAACAAGGTGCACAATTGAGGCAAGAAAAGTCTACCTTGTGTTTCACACACCACTGCAAGAATTCTGTCCTTGTCAGCATGTTTGCTCTTTTATACAACAGATAACATGAGCAATATTAGATTTTTTTTTAATGTGTCAGTGTAATACAGGTAATCATCCCTTACTGACCACAATCAGGATCAACAACTCTGTTGCTAAGCAGCACATTTGCAAGCAAAATGTCATGTGACCATGCCAGTTTAACAACATTATTTCTAGTTCTGGTCGTTAAGCATGATATCGCACAACTGCAGCTTGCAATTTCCTGCCAGCTTCCCAGTAACTTAGCTTGTCGGAAGCTGACTGCGAAGGTTTGCAAATGGAAACCATGTGATTGTGGGACATTACAACTGTCATAAAAAGTGTGCTGGTTGCCAACTACCTGAACTGTGATTTTATGACCAAAGAGAGGCTATGACATTCATAGCTTTGAGAACTAGTTATAAATCCTCTTTTTCAGCACTGTTGTTAAGTTTGAATGGTTGCTGAACAAATGGTTGGTAAGTACTACCTGTATACTATCTTGGGTACTGGATTTTTGACTAGGGACCACGTTTCAAGTCCCCAGTTGATCAAACAGTTGTCTGGATGACTTTGGACTAGAGTAACTCACAGGATTGTTGTTCTGCAGTTAAAATGAGGGAAGACCACCAGAAGCAGCGCAGGATACAAATACAAAAACAAATAAAAATAAAAATACAATAAGTAAGTAAGTAAGTAAGTAAGTAAATAAATAAAAATACTCTATTGGAGTTAACAAAATAAGTAACTTGATCAATTCTTCTCTTCAGAGTCAACTTCAGTGGCAAAAGAAAAACATCGGTGGGAAGCAATATTACAGCAATTTGGGCACAAGGAATCCACCTTACCCACTTCCTAGTATGGCCACCTTTGTGACTTCTAACCAACCTGACCTCCAGGTGACCATCAAAGAAGAAAGCTGCCCTTTGCCTTATAGCAGCTCATGGCCTTCTTTTACAGATCACCCTCTCCAACAAATAGTTTGCTCCGCTTCTACCAGCTATACTAGCAGGCCTCCAGATCATGAAAACCGGGCAAGTGTCATCAAGAAAACCTCAGATATCACTCAGTCAAGACTCAAGAGCAGCTAAGCCATTCACTGATATGTTCCTGGCAGATGCTATTTTATGGCTTTGAGGGGCATACCTAGTGGGAGCTCTACAAATTTAAGGAAAACCTGGATAGTACAGGATATGACTGTGTATCAACTCCATCATTGGAGCATCTTAAACTCAGGACTCCGATCATCAGAATGTTGGAGTTCCAAGATTACAGCCCAGGGAATGGAGGTTCACCTAGAAGTGTATTGCCAAGCTTCCTCAAGCATCCCTCCCAACAGTCCCTCCCAACAGAAGCACTTCATTTCTTGCAGCCATCATGATGAACTCCAAACTTTTGGAAGGAAAGAGAAAATGTGAACTCGCTGGATATTTTTTTCTGCAGAATCTATTGTTAATATGTACATAATGCAGCACTAGCAATATTGCAGTCTGCTTCCGCACCTTATTAAAAAAATAGCACTTGCAAAAAAGGCCTTTTATTAATTAATGGCACATTTAAAGCTCCAGGTTTGATCTCTCTGAGGGCTTTTCTGACATATGTAGCCTTGGAATCTGGAAATATGAATTAAAAAGGAAGGTAAAACTTCCCATGTACATTTCACAGATTGTTTTGAAGAGTGCTTGTCTTATTTGTGTCTAATCTGCTATGCTTGAAATCTGTGTGGTACAATAGAAGAAAATATATTACAGATATATTATGCAAATTCCTAGGTTTTAAAGAAATTTTTCCCTAATTCTAACCAGAGTAAGCTTTTTTATTTTTTTATACAGTGGAATATTTTATTCAAAGTAAAATTCTAAAGTGAATATAATTGTTTCAAGTTTTTTATCTTTTCTACAGCAAATTTATAATTTTACAATTTAGTGTTTGGTTGTCAGCAGCTATCACATCTTTGTGGCACATTTCTTTTTTTCATTTTCTCCCTCTCTTCCTCTCTTTTTCTCTTTTTTACAATTTGTAAAGGTGAAATAATGAGTTTTATGTAGCAATCAAAATATCCTGTGGATTAATAATAAATATTACATATAGCTAAGTTTTAAATAAATACTTTGTCTACATTTATGAAATGGTTAAAATCATATAAGGGGTGAGTTGAGAAATATTGTGATGAGCAACAAAAGGAGAAAATGATGAATACCTGGGCTCAAAAATTGTATCAAAACACGAATATTTAACAAAACGCCATGGAATTCAATCAGAGAATTATATTCAGCAGGTCCTGAAATAAAATGAATGCTATTTCCTAATTTTTAAACATGAAACATGTTAAATGGCCTCATAAGCCTACTTTCAAATAAAATACTTCATATTTAATTTATTCATTGCTAAAAGTACGCAATGTGTCATTTTCTTCCAGAATTTCAAATACATACACTGAGGGTTGGAATACTTTGCAACTGAGCTGGAAAATCAAAAGATAGCATGACATTCCTTCTGATTTCCTCACCACAAATAGATCCTATTGCTTTAAAGAAGGGCTGTGCTCCCACCCCAAATATCATGAAGCACTTTTTCAGAATAATTTTTGAAGCACGCAGAGCCCTAGTTCATATCCATCTTGCAGAGCAGAACATCTTTATACCAGCTTTGGAAGTTCAGTGTCAAAAGTGTTGCAGAAAGACAGTTGATGGAGCAACTTTAATGTCTAACTAGTAGACAACGTGGTAGCTTTAATTCTGAATTGTAAATAAACATAAAGGTTCCATACGGTTAAGGTTCTGGTTATGATTTCCACTCATCATCTACAACTGGATTAAGAGATTAACCAAAGAATGGAGTTAACAGCATACAATGCCAGGAAATAAATATCAAGCATTAACAGTGGAAAATGTTTTAAAAAATACAAGAACAGGAATAAATTAGACCAGACATAAAACACTTTCAAACTTGAAGATTATACTTGGTTTATTTTTTAAAATCATTAAAAACTTGAGACAAATATAAAAAATGTATTTTATGAAAAGATATTTAGTCTAGAAATACTGCAAGGGGTTTTGTCTGGTTAGTGGAATGAATGGGCATCAGTAGTGGAACATATTTCCAGGGCCAATTTGGAAAAAGCATGGCTGTGTGTAGAAAAGTAGGATAACCACAAGCTTGCTCACATAGTGTAGGACATCTCCCATTTATTTATTTATTGGTTCGATTTATATGCCGCCCTTTTCCGGAGACTCAGGGCGGCTTACAATGCGTTAAGCAATAGCCTTCATACTTTTGTATATACCTGCTTAGTAGGGCTTTCGCCCTCCCCCCCCCAGCGGTGTTCTTTTTTATACAAAGTCAGCTTATTGCCCCCACAATCCGGGTCCTCATTTTACCTACCTTGAAAGGATGGAAGGCTGAGTCAACCTTGAGCCTGGTGAGATTTGAACTTGCAGTAATTGCAGGCAGCTGGTGCTAGTTAACAGCACTTTAGTCTGCTCTGCCATCATGGCTCTTGTTATTCAATAACTACTTTTGAAAAAATCTCTTTGCTTAGTGTACATCAAGAGATTTAGCGACAGATCTACCTTGTGTTTATACCTAAGTCATGGTTATTATGATTGTATATAATAATATATGGTAATTTTTTCAAATAGTTACTTGAAGTCTATGTTGGCCTTTGACTATGCACAGAAATATTTTTCACATGAAATGGTTCCCAAATGGGGCCTGACAATCACTGGTGGTGTACAAAGATTGTTCTTAGTCTGGGTATCAAAAATCTCACAATATTGCATTCTTGTTTGAAATCACATGTGGTTTGAGCATACTTGCCCCAAACCTTGCAATATTTCAACTAAGAATACCAAAATTCTGTGTGATTTAATGATTATGAGATTAGTAACTATACTTCTCTAAAAAAAATAATTTAAAGATTTCACATTTTCTGTGATGTCCACAGCCATCATGCGGTCTTCACTGGCTTATTCAATCCTGAAAACCCGATAATGATATAGCAAATCCACATAAATGCAAAGGCTAAGAATTGCTCTTTGAAGATTTTTTTTTAACAGAAACCAATTTTTAATTCAAACAAACAAAACAATTGTTTCAAATGTTTTTCTATTATTTTCTATTCATTTTAACCAAAACGATTGAATAAAGACAAAGACAATCCCTATGTTTCTATAAAACATTAAACCTGGTTGTAGTTTGTTTTATGTGTAAATTTCAAGATACAGTCTTTAACACTCCCTAAATGGGAATGTTGAAGTAAAATTTTGTTTTGTAAAGTGGTAAAATAAGCATGGTTGGTTTAAGAAGTTCAGTTTGATTTGCTATCATTTGCATTAATCATTTGTGGATAGATTAAAAACTGGTGTGGTACTCTAAAAATAAAATACAAATAAGTTAAGAAATTGGAAAGTAAGTCTTCTTTTGCAGACAACATCTGGCCATAAGTATTGGTACCATAGATAAGTGTTTCCAACTAATATACAGCTAAAACAAACTAGTACCTGATGCATGTGCTATGCTGGGTCATTCATATGCTCAGCCAAAATCAAGTACAGCACAGTGTTGTTTAATAGATCACATGATTCTAGCCAACTCATTCTTGCACTTCCAAACTTCTTAAAATACTGTTGAGATAGAATGGTTATTATAATTCCAGTGATTTGTTTTTAATTAGTAACATAAAATATATATTAAAGTAGTTCTGGGAATTTAAGGAAGTTTATTCAATGGAACAATTAATCCTAAGTAAAATAGGCTGGTGTTCCAAAATATGTAGAAGACATAAAAGAAACTTTCCTGAATGCAGAGAGAGGGATATTTCATTGCTAATTATTTTGCTAGTTATTTTGCTAGTTGCCAAAAGTGGCAGCTGTCACCAATATAAGAAGTTATATAAGGGGGCATTTTTGTGTTATTTAATTACAAGAATACATGTGCTATAAATAAATAACACATTCATTTTACTGCTATGATTTCTTTTTTTTCCCTCATGATTTCATTCACATATATAGAACAGAAAAAATAGTGTTATCTCTATTTTATTCCTATCTGTGTGAAAATATTTAACGAAGATCGTGTTGTTGAGCTTTAGAAGACAATAATACTGTATTTATTGCTGACCATTACATGGTCATTGCTCAATGGACGTTTCAAATTGGGTTTAATTCTGGCTGATTATAGACAAATGCTTGTCTTCTTGACCTATCTTTAACAATAACTCTTCCAAATCTGTTCTGCTAATCTTTTTGATCTTTTTCATCTATCATACCTCAGATAACCTGCTCTCATGTCATGAAGGGCTTTAAAGGTAAATATCTTGGATCAGACCTGGAAGCAGACTGGCAACCAATATGTATAAATATATATATTTATATATAATTTTTAGAAAGTTTTGGCAAATTCCAATAAAACAGTATTTGATTGAGCTCTACACTCCCTATTTCTCTGCTATACTCTCAGTTCTCTTTGCATGTTCACCTTGAAAATGAGTTATATTTGAATTGCTTTTCAAGAATTTTGTAAGGCCATCTAGTCAGCTTAAGGGGTACAAATCTAAACTTAAAAGTTACATCCATTACATTTGTATTTCAAGGAACTCAGTTTGCTTATATATTATACAGTAGTTTAATGGTATCTTTCCTATTTTCTGTTTGCTGACTTTTGCTCTTCTTGTTCTTGGGTGTATTCTTCTTATCAAGTTCATAAGTATATGTGTGTGTACATGTTTCCCTGTTAATAGTTAATGAAAAGAAGAGCATTCAGAAAAAAATTATACGCATTGAAGGTCAATTTTACCTATCATTTTGAAGAATGTTCCAGGATTGCTCATTTATAGATTGCAGGATAATTAGGAAATTAGAAGTCAAGAACAACACACTTGTGGCTGCTCATGATAACAGGTTTTTATCCATGCATATGTAACATTTCTTATAATGGTGGTAGCGTAATGACAGTACATCTTCTTAACTGCTCTGTATCATGTGGAATAACTGGTCAAAGTACTTGCATGTTTGGACATGATAAGCATTCTAAGAATTCAAAGAAGACGTCCCTCAGACCATTTTAAGTCTTCTTGTTGCTTCAGGTAAAAATACATTGCATGTTTCTTTGTTTCTTTGTTTTACATCTATAGACCTTTAGATACTCTGTCTAAAGTTGACTTCACACAACATACTATGTCAAAAGTGAATAAACTATAATACTATAGATAGTAATGTGTGAATTCAGCATTAATTTATGATGATGTACTATAATGGCTCCAGAACTTTCCAGACTTACTAAAGCAATCAGCTCCAGCAGTTACTGAATAAAATCTATTACTCCTTTTTGCTGGAAGATGAAAAGATTTTGTTGCTGTCTGTCTACTCTCTCTCCCTCTCTCTCTCTATGTGTGTGTGTGTGTGTCAGAAAGCTATACATGCTATTCATGTTCTTCGGTGACTATTATTAAAAGTGATACTCATGAAAGTTAATAACTGTCCTGAATAGCAACACTGACATCCTTCATAAATTTGTCTACATCCTTCCTTTCCTAATGATAAATCTATTTTTTGCATCTCACTAGTCCAAAGTACAGAAGATATCACAAAATTACACAATACCTTTATTAAACCTTTGGGTAATATAGTATCGTTATCAAAGACATATTCACCTTTGCGTTTGCAGAAATAAGACACCCAGGACAAACTAAATGAAAAACTATGCTTTTTGGCATGTTTAATCCATGTTCATTTTTCATTTTTCTTAACATACTAGTAAAATGATATTCAAGATTACATAATCTGGACTTCAATGGTATTTGGAATAATGGCTCACAGATGCACAAACTGGATTAGAAGAAGCAGGAACTCATATAGTTTACATGCATATATTTACATACATATATTATAAATATATAATATTCATATAGTTTACATACATATAGATATATTTATATATAATAATAATTATTATTATTATTATTATTATTATTATTATTTTATTTCTATACCGCCCTTCCTCTATGCAGCAAGGACCGAGCCTGCTTAAATGTGAATAGCTCCGCCCCTCCTGGCCCAGTGTTTTGGCGAGGGCGCTGGCGCAGACTGACTGTAACGACAAAGAATTAATATCCACCACCCCCCAGCCAACCCAGAGGGCCGGAAACCAAGGGTGGGGCTGACTGCCGTTCTTTCTGATTGAGAAAGGACGTATCAGGTAAGACCAACGTCCATTCTCCGAAGGAAAGAAATGGCAGTCAGACTGGGGACATACCAAAGCTGCATGTCGCCAGGGAGGGAAAACTCCGGCCCGACAGACTTAGGAACGAAGCACCTCCTGCAGGACTCGACGGCCAAAGGCTGCCTCTGCAGACGCAAAGGAATCCACATCTGTCGGATG